GGGAAGAGCGAAACTTGGACTTTGCCTTCAGTCATGCACAAACAGTGAAACAACTGCCACAATGCCACAATATATACCACAGGAGAATAATAAAGCCTGCCCTCTTTTTTCCTGCATAACAAGGGTAAAACCCAATAATAGATTTGAGGTTTTTATTTTTATTTTAATACCAACAGTTAACTCCTCATACTCTCTCTCTCTCTCCTATGTCTACCTTTTTTAACTTTTGCTCTCTTCTGCCATTTAGGGCACTAACTGTACAAGAACGAAGACGGTAGAGATATGACCTTCTGCAGAAAATCAGGCCCACATTTTTCCCCATTGGTGAATCAATGGCAAAATTAACCCAGCAAAGTTAACTCTCTTCTTTTGTTGGGGGGGCGGGGCGCGGGGTGTTTCGCCTTTGCATTCAGCTCCCTTTCTCTTCTCTAGTTTTACCCTGAAAAACCACTGTCCTAAGACTTAAGAGGCTCCTACTCCAAGGAAATCAATGAAGGGCATGTTGGTCTTTTCATTGCCATTTTCACATTCCGAAGAATTAGAGAGATTGGTCTTGTTGGTGCCCACCGACTCAGCTCCTGACACTTCTGAGTTTGAATCTGAGTGCCCAGATTGGTCCATACCGCCACCTCCAACCACTCCCAGAGGTGCTTGCTTGTAGAACTTATTTGTATTGGCATAAATCTTCTCAAAATCTCCATTTCCCTTGCTCTTAACCGTTTCACCAAATGATCCTGCAACCCAATAACCCATAAACACAGAACAAAGTGTACATTACTACCATCATCGACGTGGTTAGGATGAGAGAACTGAGTAAAACAAACACAAAAAAGGAAAAGAGGGGAAATGGGAGATACCCATTTGCTGAACGGGAATAAAACTAGAGAAATATCCAAGGGGAGCTTTAGAGGAAGAGGGGGAGAGAGAGAGATCAGTGGTGCAAATAGAGGCAGCAGATTCATCTTTGTTGCTTGAGATGGTTGATTCAGTAGTGCTGCAGGCATTGTTTTGGCTTGTCATGACTTGATGAGGGGTCGAAGAAGAAGAGGGCATTCTTCTTTTGTAAATGCTGGATTGCTCTCTGTGTTTCCTTGCCATTATTACATGCCAATGGTTCTTCACAGCATTATCAGTTCTGCCTGGGAACAGCCTAGCAATCATTGCCCATTTGTTCCCATACAACCTATGTGCAGCCAAAAGTCTCTCCTCCTCCTTCTCAGTGAAAACTCTTTTGTTGATTCTTGGATCTAGCTGGTTAAACCATCTCAATCTACAACTCTTCCCTGGAAAAACAAGACAAACACCCATTTCCAAATTCAATCTAACCAGTTTTTCATTCCATCAAACAAATTTTAAGCATTGTTAAGAATAATGGGTTTTGGGATACCTGATCTTCCTTCAAGATGCTCGGCTATCAAGTTCCAGTTTTGAGGACCATATTGGGTCACAAGTTCCTTTAGCTTGGCATCCTCAGCAGGTCTCCAGTGACCCCTGGCACAAAGTTTAGTGTGCCCATTGTTGCCACCACCAGAGCCCTTACCTTCATCTTCCTCATCCAAATTCAGAGACAATCCCTTCTTCTCAACACCCAAAATCCCATTTCTCCCATCACCACCGCCATCTCTCTTTCCTTCCCCCCTTTCTACTGACTCAAAACTCAAAGGTCTCTTGTTTTGTTTCATTAAAAAGGTACTCATCTGAAATCCCATTTGAGAATTCCTGGCCTCTATCTCCACAGGAAGAGTCATAACCCCAATAGAGTTGGAAAGAGAAAGAGGAGGAAATATAAAGTTCATCCCTTGTATCCCGCTGTAACGATCAAATTCAATCTGCAGGTGTTGCAGACTCATTGTAACCAAAAACCAAGATAACCCACAGAGAAAACTAAGAGAAAAAATAAATAAAATAACAAAAAATCACAACTTTAAAAGTTTTAATTTTTCTTTATAAATGTCTATTTCAATGTCATACAGAGAAAAGATTGGAACTTTTAAGAAAGAAATTAATCAAAGAAGCAAGAGGGTAGATTGCAATTTTCTGGTTTTCTAACTCTATTCTCTCCTACCCATTAAAGGAAATAATGTTTGGTAACAGAGAAAATGAGGTAGAGAGAAGCAGAGGAAGTAGTTTGTGTCTGAATGAGGCAGGGGAAGAATCAGAGAAAACAAGAAGATTTAAAAGGACGAGAGGAACAGAAAATAGAGTGGATTTCACTGTTAAAAAAAGGAGAAGGAAGAAAGAACACACACGATTCTCACTTTTCCTTTCTCCTCTCTCTAATAAAGAGAAAGAAAAGAGGGTCAGGGGACTGACATAGAATAGAAAAATGTGATATAAGCAGCAAAGTACTGAGCTTTGCATGCAACTCGAGAACCGCTCGTGTGGGTGGTGGGTTTAAGTGTCCCTCTAGATTTATGCTTAATGCTTTGGGGTTTTCTCTGCTCTCAATTTTTTTTTCTTTATTTACCTCGGGCTCTGGGAAAAACCAGAAGCTGTTTGTCTCCT